AGCGACGCGTGCGAGAGGCGGGGACCGAGACGTCGACCAATCGGTTGCGCCTTGACCGCCACCGCGACCGCCACCATTTTCATGCTCGCGGTCGCATTCGGAAAAATTCCTCTTGCCTCTTCTTCGGCGCATGAAATATTCATTTGGCGGTTGAATTACATCTGGTTGTGTTCACTGAAGGTAATGTAGGGTTGTTCGTGTCACGTACTTTCGACGGGTGATTTTTTATAACATTTTACACAACTGGGTTTTTCCCCCATTAGGGGATTTAAACGAAGAGAAAGGAAGGAAGATGACAGTTCTTGCGACAATTCGCTAAAGAGACGCCGACTACTACTATTATTCGTCTTTGTCACCTTCGTTCACCATTCCACGTCTTTTCTATACCCATCGCCATTTCAGTCAGCGCGCGCTCACCATTGTACATAAAAGAAAAGATGGAGATTCTATCTGACTCTTATCAGATCTCGACCGTTGCGGGAGTAAATCACAAGAGACAGCGGCAGGAATAGGAAGCCCATTAGAGCCCCGGAATACATGTCCGCCCCCCCGGGGCGGATGGGTTGAGGAAGAACGCGATTGAAAGCCAATGGCGCGTTGCAGGATTCTACCCAACTGACAGGTTGCCTGCAGGGTGTCTCCTAAGAATACCCCTGGGCCTTCACTCGGCAATTCAAGACCTACCTCTGGACAAACACTCGGTAAGCTGTGCGTCCTAGCTCACGTGAAATCATATTTCTTCTCCTTCTCCTTCTTCTCCTTCTCCTTCTCCTTCTCCTTCTCCTTCTCCTTCTCCTTCTCCTTCTCCTTTCTAGGCATTTTATTCAGTCGAATGCCGAATATCCTTTATGTCCCGATGAGACGCATATTCGACTGTACACACTAGACACCAACACACTTGCGGGCTCCTCTGATCTGTGGTCAGCAGAACGGAAGGACCTCCGCGACAACACAGACATGAGAGACAAGGTACTAACAATCGTGCCCAGGGCGGGACTCGAAGCCGTGACCTTTCTCACCGAAGTGCTGAGTCAGTACCCGCTCTTAGCTACCTTGGCCATTGAGGTCGACACAATATTCCTTTCGAGCCAGAAGAGAGATACTAATTTTAGCAAACAGCCATGGCTGCCATTTTTCCTCTATTCTCAGTAGGAATTTACCCTCCAGCTACTCAGTTTCATCTGTTTTTTAAAATTACTGGAGATTTTCAGACGTGACTGCAGAGTTAGAAATCCACACAAAGACTGTAATCAGGAGAGAGTCATTTTCATACGAAGGCAGAATGACATTGATTTGGGTGGCCACTTTACACCTGAACATGTATGTGTGAACAAAAATTACAATGTCCCCTCCCCCCAAACATTGTAGTCTCGACTCTGCCCTTATGGTACAGCAGATCAATCTCGCTATGCAGCGAGATTAAGCACGCAAATCAACTATTACGACTGTATCTGAGAGAAACTAATGTCACACTTTCTGAAATTAATTTCCTCTCAGCAAAACACTTTGCCCGAGATGGTCTCCACATCACTTACTGGAAAACATAGTCGACAGTGAACTGGCACGACACATCATGAACTCGACTACCACACAGTCTTCACGCGAAAACCCAATCCTTCCACCCTCTGTAATTGCTCCTCCCTTCACCCCTATTTCGAAACCTCTTCTCAAGCTACTTACGATTATTCCATTGCCACTACCAATTTCTTTCCATCTGATGCCCCAATTTCCTTACAACCTGTCACTTCTGGGTCATAATACCACCTTAGACCTTGCACTCGGGGTAAAAAAGGAATAATTATATAGCGACTGCAGTCAACAGAAAAACTTTCATGTAGGTACTCCGAAAATATTCACATGCTGCACAGTAAGGTTCAATCTCTTTAAAAATAAAATTGAGCGTCTTCCTAAGATAAAAATTAACTTACTTTACGTTTCAGACATCTAAGAAGTATTGATTACACCACGTTTTTAGAAAATCTAGAGATACCTTTAAACAAAGTCGGTTTAGACGATAGCGTTGACCACAGATGAACAGTCACCCAGAGAAAGACAGACGTATTTAGTCGAATTTTCAGTATAAAGGACCCACAAAACATGGTATATGACTACACAACGTGTTAGAGAAAGTAATTTATTTCATACAAGTACAAGAGTTTTACCCATTTTCATTACCAGGGCCTGGCAATAAGAGTTTTTATGTCATAAAACCGCCGCTTTTCCCGCAGCATTACAATATTACATAAAAATATGGCCACATCAACAAGAAACCTTGTAGAGAATGCTGATTTGAAAGATAATGACAGAGAAGGGAACGATCTATGAACATTGACCTGTCTCTTCAACCAATATTTTTCGAGAATATATGTTGTTCTCACGAGGGATCTAAAGCAACAGGATTCAAGACCAGACGTTTTCCCAAAAAGTTTAGACATTTTGTTTGTTTCTGAAACTTCTTTCCATCAATTCTCAAAACAATCCATGAGCTAAAAAATAAATATTCGGCCGCTGTAGATGAATTAACGGATTGTTCATTAAAGACTTGTGCGCCATTAATTACACATCCGTTAACTCACATTAAAATGCATCCTTATGAACTAGAATATGTAAAAATATTTTCAAAATTCTAAATTACTTTCAAAACAGCTAAGATTACGCAGCTCTTCAAAAAAGATGAAAAAATTAATTTCAAAATTATCAATTTTTTCAAAATTATTAGAGACTTTGCTAAGTACAAATAGAAAGCTTTCTCAGTAAATGGGGATCGTTTCCTGTTCGCCATCATGTATTTAGAAAATCAAATTCTACAGAAACGGTCATATTTTCTTTTCTAAAGATGTCGCTGCATCAGTAGGTCAAACTGAAGCTCATATTGAAACATTGTTAGTCATTTAAAAATAATTTGACTTCACTGAACATCATATTTTATTTTCAATGTTACTTTCGTATGCAATTCGTGGTATTGCTCTAAATTGGTTATGTTCGTACCTTGAACAACCATCAAAGGGAGTAGAAATACTGTACTGCAATAAGGGGCGTTATTTTTACACCTTTCTGATTCATTGCCAATTGCGCGTGGGGTCCCGCAGGATTTGATTTTAGGCCTTATTCTCTTCCTACTATACGTAAACTATATGCTCTCGTCGATTTGAAACGGAAAATGAGTCGTCTTTGTCGATAATACGAATAATATTTGCAACAAAGGAACAGTAAATAGTTCATCATGTGTTTCTAATTAGTTCCATAATAACAAATCTATATATATATAAATAAAAAGAAATGTCTGTCACACATAGACGCCAAACTACTCCACTGATTTTGCTGAAATTTTCACAGATTGTTCAAATTAGTATCGGGAGTGTTTAAAGAGTGGTTTGAATTAAATCGGATAAGTGGAGGCGTTGGTGATGATTTAAGTCTTTATGATGACCCCAGCGCCCCTGAACATAATCTCTAGGCAACCCGCCGCACCGTCAAGTATTCAGCCGTCTGTGATTGTATATTCTGCCCCTGTTGTTATGAAATATTGGCAGGAATTATTACTGAGCGTTATCTCTTACAAGTAAATCAAATTTTCCGAAGACTGTCGTACTGTTTGCGCGTGCCCAAATTTGAAAGAAAACGTTTTAACAATAGGATACTTGAAAACCGTGTCCAAACCAGGACACAACGAACCCATCTCCGCGAGAAAGTTTTTTATGTATTAGAATCTTTGTAGAGTGTAGCGTAAACCGTGATTAGCATTCACGTGATCAGTCGGGTGTGAAGTGTAATACACTGCAATAGCGATTTCGGATGTTTTGCGGATGAAATAACTCTTGACAATTTCCCTCGCAGTCGTCTGGGAAAACGACCTATATTTCGGCTCTTCCTACGGCACCGAAACCATCGGCTGTCGGTCGAAGTTCCGTTGCGTTTGGTTCTGACGATTCCATTTCCCGGAAATCATCAGGTGAATCAAGGCCATCTGCAATGCCAAGATCATCTGAAGTAATGTAGATACGGGCCCGTTGCAAATATTTCAAAAACCTAGCTGTGTAATAACGGCAAGATTGTGATGGTTTCGGATGTTTTGCGGATGGAATAACTCTTGACAATTTCCCTCGCAGTCGTCTTGGGCGAACGACTGTATTTCGGCTGCACCGTGACCCTCGTCTTAGGCCGCTGGTGCGTGCTTCTTCGGCGCGCTCTGCAAGGCGCGGGTGGGCCGGTCCGCCCACGAAAGCCGTCCGCCGCCTCGCGGCCCCGCCCACGCGCCAAGCACCGCTCACATCGCTGCACGAGTACAAACAAGTTACTTCAGGCGGATTTTATTGAACTCGTCCTCTGAAATCAAATAATGATCCTTCATCGTGTGCCTTGGGCTGTGTCGTTGAAGCTCTTCATCAAGGCATCTTTGCTATTATCCTGCCTAAATTTTTGTAGAGGGGGGGACTGTATTGGAATCGCTGCAACAACATGGTCTCCCATTTTTGGTAGTAAAATCCATGTATATAATGTTTCTTTGTGCCTTCACACATTAGGGTTAAGGTCTCATAGTGGTGTTAGAAAGATGATTAATATTGGTGCAGGTGGCATGGAGATACACGCAGTTTTGCACCCGAAAATCGGGATGCCTCCCTGTTTGTACGTGAATGTATATGTAACGCACTACTCTGACATATTAGAAGCTTTTGCGCTGAAACTTTGTAAATACAACAGGAGT